AAGGAAGGAAGGAAGGAAGGAAGGAAGGAAAGGAAAGGAAAGGAAAGGAAGGAAGGAAGGAAGGAAGGAAGGAAGGAAGGAAGGAAGGAAGGAAGGAAGGAAAGGAAAGGAAGGAAAGAAAGAAGGAAGGAAAGGAAGGAAGGAAAGAAAGGAAGAAAGAAGGAAAGGAAGGAGGGGAAGAAAGAAGGAAGGAAGGAAAGAAAGAAAGGAAGGAAGGAAGGAAAGAAGGAAGAAAAGGAAAGGAAGGAAGGAAAAAGGAAGGAAGGAAGGAAGGAAAGAAAGGAAAGGAAGGAAAGGAAGGAAGAAAGGAAGGGAAAGGAAAGAAAGAAAAAGAGATAGAAAAGGAAAGAAAAGAAAAGGAAAGAAGGAAGGAAAAAGAAAGAAAGAAAATAAGAAAGAAAGAAATGAGAGCCAACATTTTCCATTCTAGACAAAGTGTCCGCAGCCTCTAACTGTATTTGCACAATGGCTAAACTTTAAATGGTTTAGTTGTGATGGAAAGCAAAAAATCATTTCTCTATGGTGGGTTTCTTTTTCTTCTTTAATATATATTTTGTTTCCTATTTTTCTTTTCTGTGTTTTCTTTTCTGCGCTCTCTCTCCTTGGTATTCTTTTATTTTTTTTCCCCAGCTGGTATGGGTTTTGATCTCTTTAACTGGCATGTTTAATATTGTTATAAGAAAATAAAAAGAAACAAAGTCCCGGTTTGTTTAGAGATGCCTTGTTCGGGGCCTATTTGTCCCCTTTTCCTAATCACCATTTTGTTCATATTTTTCTAAAACAAAAAGGGTTTACCTGTTAAAATGGGCTTTGCTGGCAGCTTAAAACTGGCTTTTTAACCCCCTCAACTTCAAGAACTTTTAAGGCTCTTTAGCAGTTCAGTTCCAGAAGCAAGATCAAAATACACAATTAGCACCGTTACAAACAACATCCGAACTATTAAAAAAAAATTGGTATACAGTTTTGGTTCATCAATGCTATCTAAGCTTATTATCTCATTAAGCAAGGAACTTTAGATTAACAGAGTTGGAAGGGACCTTGTGGGTCATCTAGTCCAACCCCGTGCCCAAGCAGGAGACTCTACACTATTTCTGACATTTGGCAGTCCAGTCTCTTCTTGAAAGCCTCCAGTATTTGAGTGCATTTCTCTAGTTGGATAGACCCCTGTGCACCTTTCCTGGTTTACTTAAACCATGGTTCTCAGAACAATTTATTTAAAACACAATTTTTAGTTAAAGCCAAACCACAAGTCCTTCTTAATTTCCCATCACCGTAGGGTGTCCAGATTCATTTGCCAGGTTTTGTAACGAGACATATCCCCACTCCAAATAGGATCACTGTCTCTCCACTCAAGCTCTGCGGATTCTCTTAGAGGAAAATATAACTCTTGGCAAAATAATAATAATCATAAAGAACAGAATGTCCAGGCCTAATCCATCCAAACACAAACGGACACGAATTTTGCAAATCTGGCAGGCTATTTTCCAAAGGCGGGATTTCAAGAATTAGCAATGGCACACAGTAGTTTTAATAATAGGTTGCAAAAGACCCTCCCAGGAACAGCCTAACATGAGCGGACTGGCCAACATTGGCTGGTTTGCTGTTTGTCAATGATGGGGAATTAAGAAAGCCCAATTTCTCTGGGCAGAGATCTTGGTGATAAGCTGTAAAACCGAAACAATGGCGGGAAAACCAGCAAGGGTGCCTGAATAATAGATCACAGCTGTTCAGCCAAGCGCTTTCCTGAAAGGAAAAAAGAAAGAAAGAAAGGAAGAAATTGCAAGGAAAACAAACTGCATTTCATACTCCCCAACAATAAAACTGCATTTTGTTTCTTCAGACATCAGTTAATGGGTCCCTAGAGGCTCCGTGCCTCTTAAAGATTAGCTTCCCAGGGAAAAAGAAGAAAAAGAAGTCAAAATGCAAACTTTCCCTTCGCGCGTTCTTTTTGTGAACTTCCTCGAGAAATCGCCGCTGTCTGGCTTGTGAATCGGGCACGCACTGGTTCCCGCTTGAGAGGCTCAGATTTTTATTTTATTTTTTAAGAAAAAGGAAGAAAAAGAAGATTCAATTCCACTAAGTCAAAACAGGAATTCCTTCAGGATGGGCTTCCTTAACAGAAAGACCCACCATTCAGGTTTCTGCTTATTCAATATTTTTTTAAAAAAACACCTTAATCCTTACTTTAGATGGATTGCCAAATGGCAGAAACATCTAAAAAAAAAAAACCAACCCCAAAACCTTCGAAGCTGTGCCAAGAAAGGCGAATTTTGATCCCCTGCTTTGATTAGAGAATTTGCACTAAAGAGATGTTTGCAGGAAGAAAAATATACAGTAGCTGAAATTTCAAAGTTTTGGATCAACATGAAACATTCTGCCTTATAAAGCCAGTATTGTAAGGGAATATTATTTTTAAAGTCTGATTCAAATGGACCAAAATTCAAACAATGGGCTGGATGTTTATTTGCCCTTTTATTGCTCTATATAGGGCCAGGGCTTTTGTTAAACTATCTGTGAACATTTAATGCAAAAATAAGCACAGAAGATTTACAAGCTGGTAACGCCGAGGCAAAAGGAGGGGAAACCAACTAAGCAACTGTGGTTTTCTGGAGGGCAAGATGCTCAGAGAAAGAGTTTTAAAACTCTCCATTTCTTTAAATGTAAAAAAGAAGACTTAATTCAATGTTTTTCATCAACCTTAGCAACATTGTGCAGACTTCAACTCCCAGAATTCCCCAACCAGCCTGTTTTAAGATGGGTGGGCTTCAACTCCCAGAATTCCCCAGAAAAACGGATGCATTACCCTTCTCTTCAGCCGTTCCCTTTCCTTCAAAGTTAAAGTATCTGCCTTCGCTATGACAGGAACAATATTCACTTTTCCATGAATTGCCTTCATGAATTCCACATCCAAAGGCTTCAGTCTGGAAAATAATGAATTAAAAAGAAAAAGTTATACAACGACAACAAACAATGCACTGGCTGCTTTCACCTAACATCCATCCCTCTTTTTGGTGATGCCTTTGCTTTGCCTTTGCCGCTCATTGGTAGCAAAGTTTCCTATCACCTTGAACTGGAAAACCGATTAAAACTACACAGGGTCTCAAAACAAGTTTCATCTTGTTTAAAAGAAATCGAAAAGCCAACACTTTGCGCCAAGTTCAGAAAAAAAAAATAGTTCTAATTCTTCTGGTTACTCTACCCAACAGCCATGAAAATCTCCCCTCAGATTCAAAGCTTATTTTAACATTGAGGAAACTACATCTCAACTAATACTTCAACGGAAAAGGATCCTGCGAAATTTAAAACTCTTTCACAAACACCATTTCTTGAAGAACTCAGAAAAGTTCCGTTTTGTACAAAACTTTGCATGCTTTAAGCCTGGGCTATATAAAGTGGTTTAATTTCTTGTATTAAGGAATGGTTTTTCCTGCTTGGCGACAATTTTAAGAGGTACCCTTCTGAAACGGAGGCGAAACCAAGATGAAAAATATATCTGAAGATGATTTTAATTAAATTGGCTATTCAACTAAAGGCCCTTGCAGAAAGTTTATTCAGTGAGGCTTAGGCATGAGACTTTTTATCCTGGGATATTAAAACAAAAAAACAAAAACCTTAATACTTACCCATGTCCAAAAGGGGAAATGAAATAAAAGCAGCAATGGACTCGGTTGTCTACAATATGGCGTCTATTCAAACCACTCTCATCGTGAAGGTATCTTTCAAACTGATTGTCGATATAATGGATGATGGTTTTGAAACTGGGTCAAGAAGAGAGAGAGAGAGAGAGGGAAGACAGAATTTTTACAATGCCAGTACTTTGGGTGTGCTTCTAGTCTGAACTACCTCTCAAAGCTGACCCAGAAGGTGATTGTGGTGACTTAGGGTAATCACAAGCCATTGTGGACTTTCTGTGAGTGAAATACAACCACAGACTGTTAACAATGAGCTTTGAAGTTTAATTTGGCTGCTGGTTTTAACAGTTAACTTATGTTTCCGTATAGTAGACTAGCTCTATGCCCGTGCTTCGTTACAAAGCTATATGATCGGGCTTAGATTTTGGGGAGGAAAATAAGGGGGGGGAAATTGTGCTTCTGCCTACCAGCATCCTGTCAGTGTGTGAAAGAGTTGAGGGCTGTTTGGAAACTGAAACATGGAAACTGAAACAGTATTTGCTGTGAACAAGGAGACAGCAAGGAGCCTGGGTGTGGCTTAGCTCAACTGTTGTGGACTAAAGCTGCTTGGTGCTGTGAAACTAAAACTGAAACTCCTCTGCTTGTACTTTGCATTTGGAAGAGATTTCTTTTCAGGTGGGGAGGGGAAGTAGAACTCCTTAGCATCAGAGCATGTTAATAATAATAATAATATACCAATACTAATGCTCCGATGGTCATTTCGAAAAATCCTTTCTTAGCGAGCACCTAGAAGCCAAGAGGAACACACGTGCCAAATTTCAAGTTTGTAGGCTTTACGGTTCTGGAGATTTTTGTGGTGATGCCTGAGTGATATTTCATTTTTTAATATATATAATATACTGTATATAGAGGAGGAGGGGGAAGGAGGAGGAGGAGGAGGAAGAGAAGGAGAAGGAGATAGAGGCCAGGCTAAGCAGGTTGGGTAAATAGTATTGTAGAAATGGGTGCCTCCTTTACAAGGCGAAGAGGAGTTATTATCTTCAAAATATATTTATCAGTATTCAAGGGGGGATCATTTATGTATATATTGTTTTGGGTATTTTTAAATGCACATTTTTTTTGTGTAGCTTTACCTAGCTTTTTTGCTTTCTCTTCTTTCCTCCCTTTTTTGGAGTTTTTTATTTTAATGTTTTGAATAAAATAAAATATAGATACAAAAGAAACTGACACACAAATGACCCTTTTTTTCCCCGTAAGCTTCTCTTGTGCTCTGAAATTCGGGGGAAGGTAATTTTCAAGGAATCTCCCATTGTTCCTCTTAAGGGTACCTGGCTCTGTGGCTGAGGAAGCACCTGCTTTTAAATGAGACACCAGCCTTCATGAGAGGAGGTCATATATCCTGTTGTCCACGTTACAACAGCAAAAGGGAGCTGACTTTCTTTTTTTAGTTGGGAAAAAAAAAACCGGCACGCATCTAACATCAGGGAGATAGATCAAGTTTTCATAGCCAAAGGAAGTTTGGACACATCATTCATGCTCAAAGCCGCTTTGCAAGAGAGGTTTTTATGAATGGGTAATTCATCCTGAACGAATGATGGCAAACGCAGCCTGTCTGCTAGCGTTCCAAGCTATGCGCCCATAAAAAAACAAAACTCTAGTTCCTCAAAGAAAAAGCTTATTGGATACATCATATGGGCACAAACCGGTGAAAGCCAACTCTGAGGTTTCCCGTGGCTTTTGCCTAATAAGTAAAAGTTTTCCCTTTCCTTCTACAAGTCATTGGTCACGGCTGTCCAATCCAGGTGCTGGCTGGTTGCTGGGTTACTGGCTCCTCCTCTGGCCAGCCGCTTGTGAGAATGTCCTTGGTTCCCACAGGAAAACTTTTATCGTTTTGGCTACAGAGCCCCACCTAGCTATTTCCCCCCCTTCCACTGCTGTGTGGCAACCCTGAAGCCTCCAAGGTGACCTCAGCCAGGCTCACTTCAGGGTTGACACTGTCCTTGAGTTACAACAGTTTGTTTAGTGACGGTTCAAACGGCACTGAAAAAAGGGACAATTTTTTCACACTTTCAACCGTTGTAGCGTCCCCATGGTCATGGGATTAACCTTCAGATGCTTGGCAACTGACTCATATTTATGACGGCTGCCCTGTCCTTTTGTGACCTTCTGATAACCAAAATCAATGGGGAAGCTAGATTCACCAAACAACCGTATTTCTAACAACTGCAGTGATTCACTTAACGACTACAGCGAGGGAGGTTGTAAAATGGAGCACAATTAACCTAACCATTGTCTCACTTAACAACATAAGATCTGCGGCTCAATTGCAGTAGTAAGTCGAGGACTACCTATATACGTATCCCAGGATAATGTCGCAGGATCCAATCTGGGTCGATCGCCGGGAGCAAGAGGTTTCATTTTTCCAAACTTTGGGGTTCATGATGGAGCTCATCCTCGCAACACATCCCGGCGGGAGAGAAGTTTGTTCCCTAAGGACGAGGCTCCAGCACGAGTCCGAAACCTGGAAAGACGAAACTTTTGATGCTGGTGACCGACCCAGATTGGTTCCTGCACCGTCCTCAATGCTACAAGGAAAAAAAACACACTTTTATTTATTTATTTATTTATTTTATTCATTATTTATTTATTTGATTTGTCAAATCGCTTACAAACAAGGGCGGGATTCAAATTTTTTAACAACCGGTTCTGTGGGCGTAGCTTAGGGGGTGGGCGTGGCTTGGTGGTCACGTGACTGGGTGGACGTGGCTTGGTGCTTATGTTATTGGCTGGGCGTGGCCAACTCAATATCGCTCACATTTGAGGCGCGCTTCTCCTCGCCTGCCCTCTCGTGACTGTGGGGATGCTGCAACAGTCGTAAGTGTGAAAAAGGGTCATAAGTCACTTTTTTTCAGTGCCATTGTAACTTTGAATGGTCACTCCACACAAGCAATAAATAAATAAATAGAAAAGAAACATCGCCTTCCTATCGATTGGGGAGAAAAAGGAAGACTCCAGCAGACAGGGTTGTTGTTGTTTTTTAACAAAATTATTGTTTCTACAAGACTTTGAATTCTCTGTTGCAAGTTCAACCCTCACGGCATAACAACGGGCCTTAGGATGCCTTGTTGTTCCCACCCAAAGTTTAGCGTCTCTCTCCCAGACCCCCAAAAAAAAGAAAAAAAGAAAAGCAGAATTCAGATCTGCAGAACTTCAAGGAATCTTTCCAAAGAATAAACACAAGCAGCAGAATACAATCAACAGGAAATTCTTCTGACAACACAATGGCCCAGCTCCAGCCACTCAGCGATTCAAAGGAAAGGGTCAAGCGAGATTTACTGGCAACGAGAAGGCGACGTCATTGGAGACAGAGTGGAGAATGGCACAAGGAGTTCCAGAGATTGGTCAATTATTATTATAATTATTATTTGTATTTTTCTTTGAAACCGGTGTGACACTTACCAGTTTTGGCTGTTAATGGCATCTCCATAGCCCGGAGTGTCCACGACCGTCAACCGCAGCTTGACCCCTCGCTCTTCAATTTCGACGGTCGAAGCTTCGATCTGAACCGTCCTTTCGATCTTTTCTATCGGGGGGGAGGGGGGGAAGAGAGAGAGAGAGAGAGAGAGAGGAAATGTTTAACCCCCAAAGTCCAGCTGCCTTTTGAGAAAAAGCACCTCTGGGACAACCGTGACCTGGATGACGGAGAATCTCCGTAGATATTTAAAACCCAAGAACGCCATAGTTCTGCGTAGTACTTAAGTTACAATTCTGGGGTGATTTAAAAGGGCCCCACACCTAGAAGAGGCCAAGGTTGGGAAACCTGGGTGGAAAGGCTACCAAAAGGGACTTGGGACCTCCGCAAGGTTGAGCGTTGGCCCTTTCAGCTTAAAGGAAGGAAGGTGAAACTGGAATCATATGAAATCGTTTAGAATGGGTTGGACTAGAAGACCTCCAAGGTCCCTTCCAACTCTGTTATTCTATTCTATTCTATTCTATTCCTATTTCTTTTCTTCTGTTCTATTTTCTATTCTTTATTCTATTCTTCTTCCATCTTTCCTTCTCCTTTTCCTCCTCCTCATTCTCTTCTCTTCTTTATTTTTTATTCTCTATTCTATGCTATGCTATGCTATGCTATTCTATTCTAGTGTGTCCAATCACTCTTGGCCAATAAAGAATTCTATTCTATTCTATTCTATTCTATTCTATTCTATTCTATTCTATTCTATTCTATTCTATTCTATTCGTATTCTATGTTCTGTTCTATTTTCTATTCTCTATCCTATTCTCTGTTCCATTTCTATTCTATTCTACTCTATTCTATTAAAATTGTGTTTCTCAATCTTGGCAATTTTAAGAAGTGAGGCCTTCAATTCCCAGAATTTCCCAGCCGCATACTTCTGGGAAATGAAGTCGAGACATCTTCAAAATTGCTGAGATTGAGAAACGCCGAATTAGAAAAGAAAAACAAACAAGCAAAAAAACAAAAAAAAAACACAAATTACCTCCAGCTCCAGGGATGTAACGTTCAGGATACAAATCCGTCAGGAACAAACTATTAATTAAAGTGGATTTGCCCAAACCGGATTCTCCTGTAAAGAAGAGGAATATATATAATCCCTGGGATAATCTTTCTACCCTTCCACGTTAAACGGCAGATTTGTCAAATCATCAAATTTCCTTTCTGGGGGTGGGGAACAAGACAGCATTATCGAAAGGTCTTATAAAAGTCTTTTAAAAATAACCTAGAAAAGCAGGTCTGTGCCTACCATTCCTTGTTCAAATTTTAAACTTGGTCAACCGATTCCTAGGAAATACAGGTAGTCTTCAATTTACGACCACAATTGAGCCCAAAATTTCCACTGCTAAGCGAGGCATTTGTAAAATATGTTTTGCCCCATTTAGCGACCTTTCTTGCCACAGCAAGAAAGCGAAAGTTAAGCAAATCTGGATTCCTCGTTGACTTTTGCTTTTCAGAAATTGCTTGTCACGTAACCCCCGGGACGCTGCAACCGTCGTAAGTCTGAGTCAGGTGCCAAGCATCTCAATTTTGATCATGGGACCGTGGGAGATATCACAACAGTTGTTAAGTATGAAAAACGTTCATAAGTCACTTTTTTTTTTCCCAACGCCGTTGTAGCTTTGGTCGCTAAATGAACTGTTGCAAATCAAGGACTTCCTTGCGCCACAATGATTTCAATCACGTAATGCCGCTTTTATCCATTCAAAGCATCATGGGGAAAAAAATATATATATGGCAGCCTAAAGTAGATGGAACCTGTGGAAGAGTGATGTCAGAATCATACCACTGAAATCCCTTTTCTAAACCCCCCTCCTTCCTAAATCCTGTGCCAAAACTGGACTGTAAACTCCGTGGCTTCTTTTTGTCACGTTGCCGTTTCGACGCGCTGCTTTTGACCCGAAAGATTTGAGTCATTTCTCTAAAACAGGAAGGAATGAGCAAATGCAGCAAGTCCCTCTTCGGCACAGAAGCTGAACGCCTCCTTTGGACCTTCTTGTCAAATTGACTCAGATACAGCCATATTTATAACAAGCTTTTTGCGCTACCTGAAAAGCAGACGCTGTTGAGAATAAGCTTGCCGGAGAACAGCCCAAACAGAAGAGAACGACACCATCTTCTCCTCTGACCCAGAATTACCACTGACACATCATCACAAAATCTCCAGAACCGTCAAGTTTACAAACTTGACATTTGGCACGTACGTTCCACTTGGCTTCTAGGGGCTCACTGAGAATGGGTTTTTTGAAATGACCACCAGAGCATTAGTATTTCGTATAGTATTATTATTAACACGCTCTGATGCTAAGGAGTTCTACTCCCCCTCCCCACCTGAAAAGAAACCTGTTCCAAATGCAAAACACAAGCAGAGGAGTTTCAGTTTCACAGCAGCAAGCAGCTTTGGTATAGAACAGTTGAGCTAAGTCCAGCTGGGCAGAGCAGGGAAAAGGTAGAACAAGCGAGAGGGAGTTAAGCTAAGGACTACCTGCATTCGATAGTTTAAACTGCCACAGTTTTATTTTCAAAACGTGCATGGTATGGAAAAAATTAAATCCACCTACCGACAACCATGAGGGTGAATTCAAACCCTTTCTTGACCGACTTCCGGTGGACTTGGTTGGGGAGATTGGCAAACCCCACATAGCCAGCAGAGTCAGAAAACTGGAATGAGAAACCAAGAACGAAAGCAGCAAATTGGGAGACAGAATTCATGAAAATGTGCCGACATTGGAAAGTTACAAGCTGGAGAGCAGCTTCTTAAAAGTGGAACAGAACAGAGTAGAACAGACCAAGTGTGATTGGACATACAACAAATTTGTCTTTGGTGCATAAGCTCTCATTGTACATAAAAGCTATGAGTGATAAACCATGATCATAGTCATCATAAACATACATTCATCATAAATCATAAGACACAACACTTAGTGATCGAATCAACATAAATCGTACTAGGAAACTAAAGAGAACAATAAAAATTGTAAAGATACAAGCAACAAAGTTATAGCCATAAGTAGAAAAGGAGATAGGTAATGATGAGAAGAATAACAGTAATACAATCTTAGTAAATAGTTTGACAGTGTTATGGGAATTAGTTGTTTAACAGAGTCATGGCATGCGGGGAAAACTCCTTGTGTCTAGTTGTTCTGCATGCAATACCCTACAGCAGGGGTCTTTAAACTTGACAGCTTTAAGACTTGTAGACTTCAACTCCCAGAATTCCTCCTCCTGTCATGTTAGCTCGGGAATTCTGGGAGTTGAAGTCCACAAGTCTTAAAATTTGCCAAGTTTGAAGACCCTTGCCCTATAGCATCGTTTTGAGGGTAGAAGTTGAAACAATTTATGTCCAGGATGTGAAGAGGGTCTGTCGATATTTTTACAGATATTTTCACATACAGGGACAATTAAGGAGAGTAAGCTCAGCCAAGCCTTTAGACCAGGGGTCGTTAAACTTGACAGCTTTAAGACTTGTGGACTTCAACTCCCAGAATTCCTAAGCTAACATGACTGCAGGAAGAATTCTGGGAGTTGAAGTCCACAAGTCTTAAAGCTGTCAAGTTGGAAGACCTCTGCTTTAGACCAGTGATCCTCAACCACTTTAAGGCCACTTTAAGAGGTGTGGACTTCATGTGTGGCTATGCTGGCTGGGGGATTTTGGGAGTTGAAGTCCACACCTCTTAAAGGCGCCAAGGTTTGAGAAACGCTCCAGACCGAGTTACAACAGAAGTAATGTGATACCTGTTTCCCTTTCCTGCCTGATATGCAAATGGGAAAGGATGAGGAACATGGTTTAGGAGACAATGTAAGAATTACACAGGGCCTCTGTGGACTCTCATTGCAAGGAAGTAGGGGTTAGTTCTACTTCCTGTCTTATTGCTTCTTGAGAATTTGGAAAAGCATTTAATTTCACCCTGCAGGAAGCTTTCTGCTCAACCCAAAACTGGATTGGCTGCACAACAACCATCATCCAAAGCATACCGCTCTTTTACTCGTTCATTGCCAGAGAACAGTGGAGAAAGCCAAGAAAAATCTTTTGTTAACTATCCTTTTGCTTGGAAACTCACACTGAAAAATTATGATGAAAGTGTTGTGCTGTAGAAGAGGGGAAAACTAGGATGTTCAGTCGATTTTACACTAAATTCCTATCTCATCTTGACCTCCAGTTGTTACCCACTGTTTTGGATTCAGCAATTTATGGAGAAATTTTCTATATATTTTTACTTCAGTCCACTGAACAGAATATAAGCAGAGTAGAACAAATAAAGCTGGATGACTTCAAGTGGGTTATTTATTTAAACAACAATAATTCTCTAAAATTTATTCCAGCTGTTCTTTTCCCTACTTCCTGCCCCAAAGTGATTGAAAAAAACACAGCCTTTAAACCCTAAAACCCAAAATAAAACACTGAAAGCTAAGAATTGTTTTGATGGGCTACGTCCCAAGTTCTAACTCACCTTTACTTTTTCAGCTGACTGGGACATGTTCCTGCACCACCAAATTTCTACAGCCTAGAGAGAGAAAAAAATACAGAACATTTAGACACTAAATATGAATCCTATTAATTCATCTTTCCATTTTATGATGATGGAATCCAGAGAGACAAACATATTCATGTACACTGAATGTGTATTTTACTGAACTCAAATAAAAGTGAGGTATCAAAAAAGAAGGCAACGTATTTAGGGGTGAGTCATATGGAAACACATTATTAAATGACAAATAGTTTTAAGTTTTTCATCCTAGCCTGCCCAAGAGGGTGTATTCCAGTGAGTGAGTCATATTTGTGTTTAGTAACAATGAAGTACAAATTGAACACACTTTGGCACACCACAGAGGCTAGCTACATAAAGAGAATTATTTAATCCATTTGGGCAGATTCATATGCACAGAATCATACAATTCTGTTTTATGAGCCATAAAAGAGACAATCACAAGAGTAAACCAAGAGAAAACAATTCAGATTGGTTTCTTATTGATTAAAAATTGATGGTTCAAATTTTTAAGGAGCAAAGCAAGGATAACAAGTTTCACTGACATATTCCAGCTTGTTTTAAAACCTTTCATCCTACTTTCCAGATTGGATGTATCAATCAGAATAGAGCTGGAAGGGGCCTTGGAGATCTTCTAGTCCAACCCGCTGCTCAAGCAGGAGACCTATACCATTTCAGACAGAAGGTTGTCCAGTTTTTTCCTAAAACGACTATAGCATAGCAATGCAATTAACAAGCCTTTCCGACGGGGAGGTCATATAAATACGTATTATGCCACAATGTGGGTTGTTTTTTAAGAATCTGTAGCCTACCTTTATGGCTAGACGTGACCACTAAAACTTGTAGATCGTACAAAATAGAATATAGGCGGGAGTTTTTTCTGTTAGGGATTAATGTGGGGAAATATGGTGAGGATAATATATATTTAATAATTCATATAATTACGGTTTATGCACAACGATGGGAAGGTAAAGAAACTCCAAAGGAATCAGAAATAATTAGAAAAATTTGGATGTGCGCAGAAATGGACAAATGGACAAAGGAATTAAAAAATAAGGACGAATCGGATTATTATAAAACATGGGACAAGTTTTATGGTTGGTTAGAAAAGAGGAAAGATCAAAACAACAAGAAATGATTAAGAGTGTGTGTGTGTGTATATATAAATAATATATAGAAAGTAAATTTGTATTATTTTTATATGTGAGTTAGCAATCTAAGACAAATATGGGGATTAGGAGGATTGTACCATGTTCGATGTTTTTAATGTATTTTTTTGGTTTTGGTTTGTGTTTGTTCAATAAAATCATTAAAAAAAATTAAAAAACCTTGTAGATCGTGGTTTGTGGTTTAGCTTGAGGTGTGGATCTATCCCGACCTTCCTTGCTCAGAAGGAAGAAAGAAACACCACGACGTACACTGAATTTCTGCCTGCCTGCCAAATTGCTAACATAATTCAGCCCGGAATTACGGTTGTTACGTTGTGCTAATCATTAAACAGGTCACCATGTGATGGTGCCTGATTTTCCAACCTTTTTCATGGCAGTCGTTAAACAAAAATGGGTATTTATTAAATCAACGCTGTAATTGTTCCATACTGAGACGGTTAAGAACATCCATTGTCCACAATGGGTATGTTTTTGCCAGAAACCACAATGGCAGTTTGTAGCAAAATACATCCAACTGTGAGAACTTCAAATCCACATTCTAAATAGTCACGGGGAGGTCTGTCAGAACTTCGAATGGCCGCTAAGCAGCCAGTCGTAACTTGTGAAGTTACCTGCCATGTTTTGAATTCCGGGTTGCAAAAATTCAAATTATAGGCATGAAAAAGAAGAGGGGGTCAAGCTATTCTCCAAAGCACCTGCAGGCAGGACAAGAAGCAACGGGTGGAAACTAACCAAGGAGAGAAGCAACGTAGAACTTAAGGAGGAATTTCCTGACCGTTAGTTAAAACAATTAACCAGTGGAACAGAAGTTGCCTCTAGAAGTTGCGAATGCTCCAACACTGGAAGTTTTTAAGAAGAGATTGGATAACCATTTGTCTGAAGTGGTGTAGGGTTTCCTGCCTAGGCAGGGGGTCGGACTAGAAGACCTCCAAAGTCCCTTCCAACTCTTGCTATTCTAGTCTATATTGAAGCGCCTCTTTCAAACAAAAGGAACAGCACTCGTATCCAAATGCTAATTTGGGATGTGAGCTGTCGACTGTTTATGCGTGGACGTGCATTAAGGACGTGCCTGGGCATCTTTTCTATATGAAATGGATTGTTTATTTAGACTACCTACAGCCGCTGAAGAGGAAAAGCACAAGACATTGCAACGCTGTGGGATTTTTTTTTTTTTGGTCACACAGCCTGAAAGGGAGGAAGTGACCTATAGAAAGACACCTGCGAGGCTCAACACAGATGCTTTCCTGTTCCAAGGAGGCAGGATGCAACCCGAAGCTGTAGAGTGGGGGATGGGGAAGGCCCGAGAGGTCAGGGAAATGCTGGCACTCCAGGAAAATGGATACGTGGCGTGTGCTTTGCACATTTTTTCCAGCTTCCCCTATTGCCAAGCAGCGCGCACACCATCAACAGTGACAACTGATCAAGAGGAGATACAACTTGGAAGCAAGGAGAAATTTTCTGACAGGGAGAACAGTCAACCCATGGAACGCAAGTTGCCTTTGGAAGTTGTGGGAGCTTCATCCCTGGAGGCTTTCAAGAAGAGACTGGACTGCAATCTATCAGAAATGGTATAGGATCTCTTGCTTGGATGGGGGGGTTGGACTAGATGACCTACAAGGTCCCTTCCAACTCAGTTAATCTGAATCTATCTAAGATTATCATTGGCCTGGAGACTAAAACACATGATGAATGGTTGCAGGAATTGGACCTGGCTAGTCTACTGAAGAGAAGGACCAGGGGAGACGGGAGAGCAGCCTACCAATATTTGAGGGGCTGCCACAGAGGGGAGGAAGGGGTCAAGCTGTTTTCCAAGGCACCCAAAGGCCAGACAAGGAACAATGGATGGAAACTGATCAAGGAGAGATTCAACCTGGAAATAAGAAGGAATTTTCTGACAGTGAGAACAATCAACCCATGGAATAGCAATTGCCTTTTGGAAGATGTGGGAGCTTCGTCACTGGAAGCTTTCAAGAAGAGATTGGATTGCTGTTTGTCAGAAATGGTGTAAGGTTTCCTGCTTGGGCAGAGGGGGTTGGGCTAGATGACCTCCAAGGTCAAGGTCCCTCCCAACTCCTATTCTATTCTATTCTATTCTATTCTATTCTATTCTATTCTATTCT